CCTGAGAGCCAAGCAATACGCATTGCAGTTCGGGAGAAGATGGTTTGAACTCAACCAGCGAGGTGAGCATGAAGGCAAGATGGAAATGTACGCTCGAATGGAGAAACACATGACCTTCATGGACAGCGACGAGGTTCCCTTTTGAAGAGGTGGCACGATGAGCTGAAAGCTCCAGCGTGCCAAGGAGGAGTGCGAAACAGAAGTCACTCAACTCCAGGTCAAGCATGTACAGCACTTTACACGTAAGGCCAAGAAAAGTCCGCAGAAAGCAATTCTGGCATGTGTCGTGTTTGTTACTTTTGCAATTGTTTGCTCGGACTTAGTTTGGTTCTCAAAGGACTCCATACGTCACAGCTGTTCTTTCAGGTGGTCCCGAACCCTGAGAAGACTGGCGAGTTCTTCGAGGACTTCGAAAGCGCCCCAAACGAAGTGAAGTCAGGCGAAGTCGATCCGTGACACAAGTGGATTAGATAGACAGTTGCCCAAGCTCACCTATTGGGACCAGGTTGGCCCCTAATAGCTTCTTGTTCCTAGTAGTAAGGCCCTTTGTTCCTAGTAGCGTCCTTGCTCCGAGTAGCGATGCCAAGAGCCCCTAGAAGCGTCCTTGCTCCTAGTAGAAAGGCCAGGAGCCCCTAGTAGCGGATTAGATAATATAGACAGTTGCCCAAGCTGCACCTACCGGGACCAGGTTGGCTTTGCACAGTGTTTTTTCGATGTTTTCGGTTTCTAGACGTGCGGAGTGCAGACTCCGAGGACTCCAACAAGTGACCTGGAAACTTTGCTTGGTGTTGTTTTTTGTCCGCTCCCCTCTAAGGGAGTAGTTCGCTACTAGCTACTAAAGCTACAAGCTTGGACACAGGATAGTTCACGCTTCTTCAAGGAAGCTCCCCCAGCCTCAAACCGCAGGGAGGGGCTTGCTTGAAGAAGCGCTTGCACTAATGATTTGGTTCCTAGATTTTCTGGACTCCAACAAGCCGCTTGTTGGACGTTGCTTTCAACCCTTCTCTTTGAGACCTCGACCTGCGGCCCAGCGGCCCAAATAAAGCTCTAAGTGAAAGTCTTGTCTACTTCTTTGCTAGTCTTCTATGCAAATCTTCTGTGCTCGATGTTTCGGCAACTCGCATGCAAGGTCATGCAAGTCGCTAAGTGTCCAAGTCTCTCTCTCTCTCTCTCTTTGTTAGGGCTATTTTGCCACCCCAATTGGAAAGCCTGAAGATGCTGAGAGGCAAAACAAAGCTGCTGTCGACGATGTGGAAAGCTTAGCAGTTTTGAGAAGTTTATCACTACATCTAACGACGTGCTCCATCGTGAGCTTGTATATATCGTTTTGGGGCTCCAGGTTGTGAACATGTTTGGGACAAAAGGAAATGCACACTGTGGGAATTGGGGTGTGTGAACACAGATAGAAACTTGAACGGAGAAGAGAAGTTCGCATAGCCAGCAGAGTCTGAAGGTATCCACCCACGGGTGACTTCAAAGAGCAGTGGGTTTGGAGCTCAATGTGTGAACTCCATCGCGAGACTGAAGACGCATCAGATCATAAATTCTTCTCGCATGTGGCCAAAGAATGACGAAAATCTTGGTGCTGCAGGAGCAAGTGCGACGCTACTGCCGGCGGCTCCTCCCGCACTGCTGGCCCTGATTTCGCAGCTGGTTTGCCGCAAAGCTTGAATGCGATCAAAAGGCTTCTTAGTTTTTTGTTACCAGTAGCTCCTTGCTCCTAGTAGTAAGGCCAGGAGCCCCTAGTAGTGTCCTTGCTCCTAGTAACGATGCCAGGAGCCCCTAGTAGCTTCTTGCTACTAGTAGCGATACCCTTTGTTACCTCTTACATTCTTTTGGCTTTGGGGAACGGACTTGCACCACGAACACTTCTGACCAGAACGTGTTTTTCAGATCGTGCCGGGTCACTCCATGCAGATGTCCGCTTCACCTACTAGCGTTGATGACTCTTTCTGTTGCGATGCCAGGCATCTCATGGATACCGGTGGTTTCTTCATCGCAACCTTTGAGAAGCGTGCTGATTTAGCGTGTGGCGCCTCGGGTGTGAAGGGATTTGTCATTCGACCTGACTAAGGGTAAGCTGCGTGTAAATGGGAAGCCAGTTGTTTCTTTTGTCTCATCCGAGGCAAGCCCATTTGAGACCCTCCTGCTCTTTTTTTTTCGTTAGAAGAGCGTCCGCAGGTCTAATGGTATGTGGATACACCAGATGATCAAACTAATGCCACCATCCAGTGTTGAGAGGATAATTCTTTTAAAGTCTTCACCTCATATTCTCTATTTGCAGCTGCATGTTAGAACACTACTCAGAGTCACTATTTGCTTTAAGGGACTTTGGACTTGGACATCTCTACTCCTTGCTACAAACAATGTAGCGAGAAGAATACATGTATTAGGAGGCCATTGCTGTTAGGTTGGAGGCCATTGCTGTTAGGTTGGAGGCCATCGCTGTCCGTTTAGAAGCTACTAGGGGCTCCTGGCCTTACTACTAGGAGCAAGAACGCTACTAGGGGCTCCTGGCATGACTACTAGGAGCATTCTTACTACTAGTAACAAGAAGCTACTATTTGTTTGTCCGTTTTTTTTCCCTTTAACTTGCTCTCTGCGAGGCCATCCGCCAAAGCGCGGCGCGAAGAGAAGCGTGCCCAGCTCAAGGCCAAGGACGGTCAATTCTCACACGGTCAGGTTGGTTGCAAAGAAAAAGACAAAGAAAACAGTATAAATAGAATACAAACGTATTTCAACCTGCTTGTTTGACTATTCTTTTCTAAAACAAAAAAGAAAGGTCCAATATCACAGAGACCAAAAAAGGGCAAGAAAGCAACGAGCTTGTCCTGCAGCTGTTCCTTTCGTGCCAGGAGGAGACCACTGAGACCGCTGAGGCGGAGGTGCTTTGGAACCGTTCTTTTTCGGAAACGGTTCCAGATAAGAAGAAGCGGTTTTTAATTTGGTTTCCTTAGGCGTTTCCAGGTTTAGAAGGTGGTTGATTTTAGATTTGAGGATTCATTGAAGTATGTATTCTTTCAGAGGCTCACTTTGAACTCCACAAGATGGAGGACTCCTTGATGTGGGCAGAATGGAATGTATGCGATGTTATGCACCTCATTCACAGGTTTCGCCTTTTCCTTTGCCCCAGGCGGAGGAAGAGAAAGAAAAGGCGACCTGAAGTCATTTGTGAGAAGCAAAACCTTGAAAGATTTGCAAGCCAACTGTATGTAGCAAGAGTAATTAAGTGCATAATTTACTTCCTCACATGCGGATTGTGTAATCGGCGGTTTGAACTCTTCAGCAAGCGAAGAAGTCAGTCATGCAACTCTGCTTGAAGAAACAGAGAGAGAGAGAGCGAGAGATAGAGAGATAAAAAGAAGTACGCTAGTACAACAATCTCTGCATGCAATGCGGAGCATAGACTGGCAGAAGGGGGTGCGGGAAACTTTTGCGGATGCCATATGGATGTCATACTAGTGCCTCACACGAGCACAAGAGTGGGTTAGGTGAACTTGTGTAAGGTACGTGTGGTAAGTCAGTTTTGTTGCATATTACAGGAACAAGACATGTTAAAAAGCAAAAACAGTAAAGGTCCAAAGCACATGTTTCCAAGAAACCCAAAGAAAATTCTCCCTGATGTGGGAAAGGTTTCAGTCCAGCTCATCCCTGTTGTGCACCATCAGCTATCCAAAGTCATCAGGAACCCGAGAAGCCCAAGGAGAAAGTGGTGTGGGGCCAAAGTAGTGGATGCAGAAGTAGTAGCTTCTTGTTACTAGTAGTAAGGCCAGGAGCCCCTTGTAGCGTCTCCAACCCAGAAGCGATTGCCTCCAAAGTATTGTTGTTGTTGTTGTTTTTTCTGTCCTTTTGTTAATTTCTTCATGTGTTCCTGTCCTTTTGACCGCCAACCTTCTTTCTTGAGAGGCTAAGAGCCAGCAGAGAAACATAGATTGGCATTTAAGCCGGTGGATGTCAGCATGTTTTTCGTTGCTTTATGCATGTGGAGTCCTGCATATGTTGTTTGGCCTTAGCCACTCGAATGGAGGAGTTCAACAAATCCAAAGAATCCACAGATGGTCTGCAAGCATCCTACGATCGAAGAATGTTGTGGAGTCGTAGTAGTGATGATGAAATGAATACGTTGAAAGCAGAAGCCTTTGCAGGTCTTCAGGCGGCTGACCAAAGAGTACCTGCCTGTGGACTCCGTGTTGCCAGAGTGGTTTGGGTCTCAGGATGAGAATGACCAAAGGTACGCAATAAGGTGTTTTACAGATGGTTGAAGAAAATGGAAGAACTGTTCTTTTGGCCACCGGTGTAGGAGAGAGGTGCAGCTAAGTAGCGATCAATACTGGCAAACGGACACAGAAGAAGCATTTGGGGCCTTGCCTTCCTTGCTGTTCGATACAAAGAAAGCTTCCTTTGCACAAGCACACCAAAAAGTCTGTCATGCAAGGGACATGCAATGCAGTGCTGCGAACTTGCGGTATTCCCACGCACGGCTAGGCTGTCCTCAACTAAAGGCTGTCTTGACAGCTGATCTGGATTCAGATTCCCAGTTGTACTTTAGACATATATTTATTATTGTTCTTTGTCACTTTAGACATGTGTGCAACATGTTTTTATTTATCTTTTGTTCTTTGGACGTGTTTTGCGTATGTCTTTTCGTTACCGGATGTTACTTGTCTCCACCAGGCCTGAAGTCCTAGACTTCTATGGCTTGGCCCTCTGACATGTTTAACGTTACCTTTAAACCGTCTATATCAAGTCGCGTGTGTGGCGTTAAACCCGATATCTTCCTTTGTTTCTTTTGGTGCCAAGAGGTCCATGGATAAAGCGTGAGCAAAAACAATCCCAGCATGTGCAATTATACAAGCTACTAGGAACAAGAAGCCAAGGCAATGACCATTCCAACCGCCTTGGCTTGTCAGGGTCTGATTTGCTCAACTAGTACCCCCCCACATTAAAGCTCAACACAGCCTTCCAGAAGCGTTTTGCATACATACCGTGCGCTTTCCAAACAAGCCTTTTAGAACAAAATGCAAACCTTTGCCTGCCATTGCTGTTTCCAACTGACTGTCATGTTCACCACCGGCGTTAAGCCGCTGCCAGGATGTTTCGCTCTCCCATCGCTTTGTGATGCGTGCAGAAGGCGTTTCGGTGGTGCATTGCTCCTAGTAGCGTCCTTGCTCCTAGTAGCGATGCCAGGAGCCCCTAGTAGCGAACATTGTTACTAGTAGTAAGGGGAGCTCCTAGTAGCGATGCCCTTTGTTACTAGCTTCAAGTCTTACCAGCTCATTTATAGTGAGATGTTTCAGACGCAAAGTCGACGTGCGTGTGACATACGTCCATACTGGAAGGCAATTGATTCAATTGACTTGCTCTTCAAAACACTTCTAGTTTGAGAAAACACTTCCAGTTGACATCGTATTAGGTTGGAGGCCATTGCTAGTTAAGTATCCCTAAAAATCTAGGAACCAAATCATTAGTGCAAGCGCTTCTTCAAGCAAGTTTCCCCCGCCGCCCCGGAGTTTCCTTGAAGAAGCGCAAGCTATCCTGCGTCCAGTCGGTAGTAGCTACAAGTTAGCTACTAGCGACCTCCGCAGCCTACCCGGTCGGGGGGCGGGCGAACAAAAGAAAAACAAAGGAAAGGAAAGAATGCTACTAGTAGCGATGCCAGGAGCCCCTAGTAGCGTCCTTGCTCCTAGTAGTAAGGCCAAGAGCCCCTAGCAGCGAACATTGTTACTAGTAGTAAGAAAGAGAACAAAAACTATTCTGAACATGTGTATGCTTTGAAAATCTGCCCGGCAGGTGACAAAAGCATTTTTCTCGTCTCCGAGGTGCGACCAGAGAAAAAGGAGATGGAGCTAGTCCTACTCAGCATAGGTAGACTACTAGGCCTCACTAGCACTACAAAGACTCCCATATCCCTCGTAACTGATCCAGGGGATGAACTCTTCTTCAGCTCAAATTGGTTCAATGTAGCTTTCTGATACAAAATCGAATTGTTAATATGACACATTACCCATTGTTACTTTGTTGTTGTGATCTCTTCTGTCTTTATCTCCATATCTCCCTTCCTTCGGAACAAGTTGAGTGCAGGCAGCTGCTGAGCTGCTCCGACAGGAGGTGAAGCTGCCGACTCGCATGGTTAGAAGCTGAGATGGCTTGAGGGTCGGTATTTTTTGTTTTTCCGACCGGGGGGGGGGGTAGGCCAAGGTAGGTAGGTAGGTAGGTAGGTAGGAAGGTAGAGGTAGCCAGTAAAGACTAGGTAGCTTACTGTACAAGTACGCTCCTACCCAGCACGCAGGATAGCTCACGCTAGTGATTTGCCTCCTAGATTTTTAGGGAAGCTTAACTCCAACCTAGTAGGATTCAACACAAGGATGTCTATGGCAGATGACCAACTCTATGGCATCCTTCTATGGTATTGTGTTGGGACACACAATCGCAGTTCCAGGTGATGTGCGGTGTGGCAGCTTTCCAGAGGACTCCACGATCCAACGTCAGATTCTCCTTGTATTCCTTTGAGAATTGCACAAACCACTTCCATTTGGGGCCAAAGGGACCTTTTGAGTTCTTGAACCTTTTGGAATAGGGTTCCCTTTGGAACTCTGTTGCAGAACTGTGTTGCCACATTGACCGCGGTAAGTCAAGCTCATGAAACCTCCAAGCTGCTAATGCGCTCTTCGAGGACTGGTTCGCACCACGAACGTGCTTGTCCCTGGCAATTGGCGCCTTCGGCTGAAAGCCAAGACAAACGTCGTGGTGAAGAATGGATCCGGAAGGGCACCTAGGAGCAAAGGGCATCGCTACTAGGAACAAGGACGCTACTAGGGGCTCCTGGCATAGCTACTAGGAGCACTCTTACTACTAGTAACAAGTAGCTACTAGGGGCTCCTGGCCTTACTAGGCACATGAAGGGCACCTCAGAAAAGGGCACGGCCATACTATTGGTATTGGACTAGCGCATGCAGCATTTTCCGCATGAAAGTGTGTGTGTTAACCCCTGTTTCCAAGGACACTACTGCAGAGTTTCACTGAAACAAGTCTCACCCCGGAGATGTTTCCT